TGTTAAACATTACTTCACAATTGAAGACAAGGGATCATCATAATTCACAAACCCCTGTCCAGCTGATTTCTATAATGTGGAATAAGAGGGCTAAGTGTACATTTATTATCAAGAAATTAGAAAATTAGGTTGGGGATGAATCAGTCTCAAAAACCAAGAAGGAAAGTGATCTAGGATGCTACTGAATTCAACTTCTGCCCTTCACAAGTCCACTGACACACACATGCATGCACACACACATAATCCACACAAACACACCTAAAAAGCACCAAAAGAAAGTTATTAGGATCACGACATGCGTAAAGTTAATAAAGGAATGAACTGTAGTTAAACAACATACAACTCCATGTCATTCTATGATCCTTAATGGTCATCAAAATGAAGCCCTCATCTGAGTTTTTAAGATGAAAAACAAAAGTACAAGGCAGCAAAGGGCTCCACCACAGCTGATGAGTTGTCATACAAAAAGGGAAAGCTTGATATAAGACAAAACATTACCACATTTTCATATGTAGAAAAATACGTGATGAATGAGAGCACTTTTCACCAGAGTTACTAAACAAACATCTTCCACACACATAAAAACGGGACCAAATAACCCCCCAATACAGCCGTTAGCATTTCTAGAACAAATATTTATCAAAACAGAAACATCAACCTTTACAGTCTGTTTCATGAGCTTCTTCAGTGTCTAAACCAGTGGTTTCCAACTTTCCTAATGCTGCGACCCTTTAATACAGTCCCTCATGTTGTGGCGACCCCCAACCATAAGATTATTTTGTTGCTACTTCATAACTGTAATTTTGCTACTGTTATGAATTGTAATGCAAATATTTTGGAAATAAAGGGTTGCCAAAGGGGTTGTGACCCACAGGTTGAGAACCACTTGTCTCAGTGAAACTATTTTCAACAGTTTCAGTGTATAGTACAATTGAAATTCAGTTTTTAAACAGATGGTGAAGTAAATGTGTAGCAGAAGAGCATGAAAACACATAAAGCCAAACATAGTGGTATACTAGAATATATGGAGGTGGGAATCACCATACAACTCAGATAAAAGGTGCTGGAGGCCTTGCTGGAACTTTGGAAAGAAGAAACAAAAACACTACACCTCGACTTTCTGTGTTGAATGGGTTGATCTCTTTCTTCAGTACACATGCCCTTTCTTCCTCAGTAACAAAGCCTTGGCTTGTATCAACCTACACGGTTTCATAGGATAAACCACATTGCTTCTAGGCATGACCATGTGATGAAAGTATGAGGGAAAGCATACTCCAAAGGAAGTATTTCTCAAAGGAAATAAACACCATGGGTAGAAGTTAGTGCTACACTTTCCTCCCAACTTCTAAGAACCAAAGAAAGGAGCTTAACTTTTGCTTTCTAGCGTTTGTTTTGTTTCCCCTGATAGAACAGTCATGAGTACAGACAGATAAATCCATGCATTCAATCACTCCTTCTTTCTTTCAGCAAACATAAAATAAGCTCCTATTCTGTGTCAGGTGCCAAGATGCCTGACTAGGCACCATAACACATGACTAGGCACATAACACATGTGTGCTGAGCTTTAAGTAAAGCTACCATGTCGTGAAAAGGAAAAGGGGAGTGGACAGGGAGCAGGGAAGCGCACAGAACTGAGCTCTTCATCCACTGAAGACACCGCCTCACCATCAGATACACAGTCTATTATAACCAAGCTCTTCCTTGAAAATGGAGGCCCTGGAAATAAAATCAGAACAACTTCATATTTGTTACAACTCTATCAAAGATATCTTTGCATTTTTGTGAGGGAAATGTTTGTGAGGGGAGTCTTTCATCCATGGTTTAATCCCCTACATTGGGAAAAATAACTTCTTGATCTTTCATGTTCAACAACCTGAAACTTTATATTTTAAAGATTCATTTATTTATTTATTATGTATACAGTGTTCTGTCTGCATGTATGCCTGCAGGCCAGATCTCATTATAGATTGTTGTGAGCCACCATGTGGTTGCAGGGAATTGAACTCAGGACCTTGGGAAGAGCAGTCAATGCTCTTAACCTCTGAGCCATCTCTCCAGCCCCCCTGAAACTTATTTTTAAAGAATGAAATTGAAGATAGAAATGACCAAAACAAAGTGGGTTTAGGTGAGAAACAAGCACAGAGAAAATCCAATCTCATAAAGAAATGATCAATCAAAGAAACTAAAAAATTTGGTGTCCAAACAACACAGGAAGCCAGATTATGAAAACAAAATTAAGTTAAAAACAAACTTCTCTTGTTTTGAAAGTGGCTCTGGCGCTTAGGAATTCAGTATGTAGTTAAAGAGGATCTTTAACTTCTGATCTTACTGTCTCCACCTTCAAAATATTGGGATTCTAAGCTTACAGCCGTGTGTGTGTGTGTGTGTGTGTGTGTGTGTGTGTGTGTGTGTGTGTGTGTGTGTGTGTGTGAGCATTTGGCAGTGCTGGGGACTGAATCCAGGGCTGACTACATGGTAGGCAAGAACTATATCACTAAGCCATACACAATTCCTAACAAATTTCTTTTCTTTTCTTTTCTGTTTTTCGAGACAGGGTTTCTCTGTGTAGCTTTGTGCCTTTCCTGGATCTCGCTCTATAGACCAGGCTGGACTTGGACTCACAAATATCCGCCTGGCTCTGCCTCCCGAGTGCTGGGATTAAAGGCGTGCGTCACCACCGCCCGGCTTGCCTTATATTTAAGGCAACTTTTATAGCACGGTTCGTACATCGGTTCGCGTCGAGTCAATGATGTATATTAACGAACAGCTTGGGCAATAATGGTTTTAGTACTTTAATTGATATCTACAGATTAGAAAGGAACTATACACCCAACTTTCCATGAAATAGGTGGTTCAGACACTTAAGATAGAAAGCCCTTGAATGAAGCATTCTATGAAGTGATTTATGTCAATGAAAGGTCATAATGAAATATAGTATGTAGCAATATAGTGTAACTAGAAAAATGTGTGATATAAGCTATAATGTAGTCACAGAATAAGCAGCACATATGCCAAAATTATGACACAATTCAGAAAGAGGAACATATAAAATATATTATAAATAGTATATATCACTGATTAAAGCATTATATTCAAAAACAAGTTAAGACTATAGTGCTTTTAGTATTTATGATATATTGAAGGTTATAAACTTTATGAGATTAAAGAAAAATCTGTTAATGGGGTATCCTTCAAAATATACACACAATTCTCACGGGAATCAAAATGGCTATTAAATACATCAAGATTTAATATTGTCAGTATGACTTTTGTGCCCCAAGCAATAACAAAACCAATAATCTTAATAATCTACTGCTTACTGAAAGTTTTGTTTTATTTGGGGGGATTTTTGTTGTTGTTTTTGTTTTTGCTTTTTAGTCTGAGACAGGGTCTCTTAGTCCTGGTTGTCCAGGAACTACATAGACAAGGGTGGCCTCAAACTCACAGAGATCCTCCTGGGTATGTGTGTGTGTGTATTTGACAATACCGGGGACTGGATCCTAGGCCTGTCTCACAGTAGGCAAGAACTATACCACTAAGTCATACCACAATCCCCAACAAATGATTGAAGATGTGCACCAAAGAAGAGATCTTACACCACCCAGTGAAAGAATACCTTTGTTCAAACCCAGCAGAGCTAGATACCAAAGACTATCATCTTATTCCTCTCTGAAAATGAATTTTAAAAGACAGAGACCAAGTTAGTTTAACAGAAGTAACAAAAACGAAACCATAAATTGCACAGGATAATCTAAGACCCTATATAACTTGCCCTCGAAGATTCTGGGAGATTTATATCCCCCATCCTTTATTAGATTCTTTTTCTTTAACATTTTTAAAAATTTTTATCTGTGTGTGTGTGTGTGTGTGTGTGTGTGTGTGTGTATGCCCGTGGGGTCCAGAAGAGGGTGTCAGATCCCTTGAAGCAGGAGTTACAGACACTTGTGAGCGTCCAGATACGGTGCTGAGAACTAAACTCTGATCCTCTGCAAGAGCAGCAAGCACTCTTCACTCCAGCCCCTCTCTTAGCAGATTCTTTTTTTTTTTTTTTTTTTTTTTGTTTTCGAGACAGGGTTTCTCTGTGTAGCTTTGCGCCTTTCCTGGATCTCGCTCTGTAGACCAAGCTGGCCTCGAACTCACAAAGATCCGCCTGGCTCTGCCTCCCGAGTGCTGGGATTAAAGGCGTGCGCCACCACCGGCCGGCTCTTAGCAGATTCTTAAAAGGGAACAAAATCTGCAGATGGAGCTAGTACACTTGAGAAGTGTGCTGATGCTGTTATTTGCAGAGCAACTTCACAAGCCCAGAATTATCCCCTAGCAAATACTTAAATACTAGGGACTTGATTTCCTTAGTCACACTGGACTCTCCTCTACCCAAAGCATGACAAGAGAAAACAAAAATTCAAAGGTGACACCAAAAGGCATCAAATCAAGAGGCACTTTCAGAAAACTGTCCAGGATTTTCTACTGCAGTAAAGACGAGCGGGAAAATAATGAGACAGTTTCACTGTAAAAGAGAATGGCATATGCCTTGTCAAAGGTCTCTTCACAAACCTCAAGAGTCATTCAAAGATAATCATAAATTAAACAGGGACCCTCAGATCTTCCCTCTCAGAATCTTAAGGGTAAAATCCCAAAAATGCCACACCCACAGGAGGTTAGCTAACAGGATCCTCCCAGTTTTCCCCAGGCAAAGCTAAGGCAAGCAGTTGGAGAAGAGATTCATTTTATCTGAAAAAAAAAAAAAGGAGGGGGGCCTGTCAGTCCTATCTGATGGAGTTGCAGGAAATCAGAGTCTGTTCCTTATGGGCCCTGATCTTAGAAAAGCACCCCTTCCGCACTGACAAAGAAAGGTATGAGAGAGCAACTCAGCAGAAGCGGTAGTGGCAAAGGTAAGACCTGAACCTACCTACCGGTGAGGAGCTACGTGGCACTAAGCAAATAGTGGCTAGTTTCCCTCACCCTCTGCTTCCGCCCCAATCATCTTCCCCTTTGGTTACCAGTTGCTCCAGATGCCGTAGAGTAGTTCCACAAAAGCGAAAGAGAGGTTCAGGCACAGGAAGAAAAACAGGTTCCGGGATGTCTTGTCCGACAGGATGGACCTGCGCACGATACAGGTGATTAGAAGCAGGCAGGAGCCAAGGGGGTGCGGGGACCCCGAAGTCGAGACCCCCTTTCAAAACCCACCCAGTCCACACATGCTCTTTCCACCACAGCAGGGGGGTGACGCTCCCACCCTGGACCTCGGACCATCCTTAGCTCCCGGCTTTTGTCTCCTCCTGCCAGGCAGCCCCCTCCCAGCAGACACAGCACCCCGCACCTAAACCAGCCTGAGATCTTGCCCAACAGATTGAATTTGGGTGGTTTGTATTCATCATCCTTGATGGACAGGGGCAACATCTTCTCCACCCGGCGAAGGGCCGGGCCTCCGTCCCTCTAGAAGTGACTCGGTATGGTGGCGGCAGTGACAGCGGTGACGCTTCAGACGCGGACCCCCTAGGCGCTTGACCGCGGCGGCGTACCGCCGCGAGACACAGACACAGACACACACCCGGGAACTCGAGGACTTCCGGCCCGGGCCGCGCAACGCGTCCTGGGACGGGAAAGCGGGAGGCGAGGGGGTGGGGGCTCGGGCGGGGGCGGGGCTTACGGAGGAAGGAGGCGGGGCTATGAGGGCTGCAGAAAGCCCGGGCAGCAAACCGCGGGGGGATCCCTAGCTGAGCTGGTGGTGGGGGGTCCCATCGCCTGAAGTCCCGAAGGCAATCCTCAGCGGCGGCTCTGCCGACGTGGCTGGCTGGGTTCAGGGCCTGCTGTCACCCACCCGGGTCGCCCACCACCAGCGTTCCCGGATGCAGCGCTGCCCGCGCCTGCCCCTTCTGCATTAACCCCCTAAGGACCTCAAATCCCCCACGCTGGGCTTCAAGGCAGCACCACGGAGGGACCCGGGCAGCCACGTGCTGCGCCGCCACTGCGCAGGATGCGCGGCGATGGCTTCGCGAGGTCAACGCTGAGGGAGTGCACTCCACCCGCGGGAACCGCCACGCGGGAGGCGATCGTTGGGTGCCTTGCAAAAGAAACGCTGACAGGTATTTAAAAGAAGTCTTTTAGGAAGCGGGCCGTGGAGGCTATGGCTTCATGCTATTTCTCCCTCCCGGGCAACCTCAGTTGGTTGCAGCCCCGAAGACAAACGCATATACGTCCCTTTTGCATCTCGGTCACCCCGGGACAGTAGCTGTCACTCTAGTCCATTTCAGGAGGTGCAGTCACTAGCTGGCTGGATGAGGGACGCTGGAGATGAGCCTTTGCGGGCCTGAGCTGGGTAGAGGGACACACTCCAGCATCTTTCTGGGGGATTGTTTAGACAAGGTCAGCTGGCCCGTCACGTGAATGATTAAAAGTTGTTACCTAGGAGAGGAAACCAGAAAGAGGGTCTGGCTTTGGGAGGTGGCTTGGAAACTACAAAACCGAGCTTCTTGGGAATGCCTTTTTGCCTAACAGGAAGTGGAGCGTCACCCAAAGGGAGGGAGACTGTCCCCTGCTCCGGGCGCTCACTCTGCGGGAGGCGCATTTCCTAGGTTATCAATTGGACCAGTAAAGAGGTTGGAAGCCTGATTTAGGAAAGGGGGTGGGAAAGAGGCAAGCAAAGGAGACTCCCTTTCCGTTTTATGCGAACCAAGCTGCAAATAAACCTGCTGGCCCCACTGCAATCCTCTGCACTGGAGGTGAGGCGACTGTAAAACGCGCTTTCGTTGATTTTATTTTTCCATTTGGGATCTATGCCTGTTTTTCCCTCGTTCTTGGAACTTTGTGTGTAGGAGGGGTTTATTCTGTAATTTGATTTTTGAAAGTATATCGTGTAAATTTTTTAAAAAATGTTTGTCTTTAAAATCTGGTAAAAACGGTTTGATTCTATATATTAAGTTCTGGGAAGAACATTTTTGTCTTTGCTTTTCTTGGGTTATATTTCATTATTTAATTTAAGCGAATATTTTCAATTAATCGTATTTACTTTTTAAAGGAAACTTTTGTGTTTAGAGTAGTCTTTGAATCTTACCCTGCTGCATTGCTGGGGAAGCCCTAACTGGATGCAGACTAAGGTAGTTTAAGGCTAAATATTTCCATTGCAGTTGATTTTTTTTCTTTCTTTCAAGACTGCTTTATTTCAGTATGATGGTGGGGATGGTACATAGAAATAATCAAATTTCAGCAACTGATGTCCAGCCTTTGCATCAAGGTCAGCTGCAATTTGAGCCTATGAGTTTTTTTTATTCTGCCTTTGGAAATAATTTCTGTATTCCATCTTGCACTGCTGTAAATCTGAAATTGCTTTGCTGGCTTAGGGAGAAACCCACATTACCCGTTATTGAATAGTTTTGAAATACATTAAAGAAATTTAATTTCAGCTCTATGAGTTTCCAGAGACTCCTAGATTTAGCTTCCTCCCTCCAAGATATAAGCTAGATACTCTTTTGGGAATCTTCTCCTTTCTAAAAGTGGCAATGCTATTTCGCATCCTTAAGCCCTGGACAGCATAATGGCCAATTCAGCGTTAAAGGAATTCTTGTTTGCAACATAAAGCACAGAAGGACACTATTTAAATCAGGAAAAAGTTCTAGGGGTAGAAATTGTTTCCACTGTGCCTCGCTTCTTTTTTTGACCTCGAAATAATATCTGTCCTGTACATGTTACCCTATGCATGTTGTCCTGTCAAACTCTTTAACTCTTTCATTCAATAATCATTTAGTGAGGATCTAGTATGCGGCAGGCTCTGTGTTGGTATTGGTAATATAAAGGTGGATAAGGCAAAGTTCTTCACCTGAAACAGTTTTTTGGAGAGGACAAGTGGATGTAAAGAGAGGGAAGTGGAGATGAAGACAAGTCAGGCCCGTATTTTAGGATTGTGTGGTGTTTAAGTTGTGCACAAGAGATGAATTGGGAATAGTGAACAGAGACAGCTATCACTCAGTGAGTCTGTGTGCTAATCCATTCCTTTTACCACCACAATAATTTTTATCATTAAAAAAAAGAAAAACATGAGTTGGAAGAAAAATGTTTTTGATTCCTCAGCTCTGTTTTGGTGGTCAGTATTTAGCAAGACTCCAATCAGATGAGGTACTTGGAAGTCTCCAGTGATAATTCTTCATTCTTTCATGCATTACAAGATTAAATGGCTAGGGAAGACTATAAAATAGATGCAGTAATAAATGTTCTTACATTAATGATTTCTACTGTGAACTTTTAAATATTTGTTTATATCGTCAATTAGTTGCTTTTGATTAATTGTACATACTATATGGGCGGGGGGCTTAGAAACCCAGCTGTTTAGACACGTGGTTAAAGATCAAGAAAGGAAAGCAGAGAGGATTACAGGACGGAAACTCCTCTTGTTCCAGGTCTTTTCCAATAGCAGACAGCAAGAGTGAGAAGGATGCCATCTGTCAACCTCAGTAATCCGGGCTGGCATTTATCTGCAACCCTGTTTTAGAGCCATGGTTTATTAGATACTTCAGATTAATGTCCTGTGCACTGCTGGTAGGAAACAGGGAATTAGAGCAGTGACTGAGAGTAAGGATGTATGGAAGCCTAGGAATTGAATGGTGATGCAAACTGTATACATGGGCCTTGGATTCACTTCATGATGTGTTTGCTTTGGTTTCAAGTGTGTCAGTGTTAGGTAATTGGGATGATCTGTTTATTCTGTTTCCGGACCCTCCAGAGAGATCTAAATACAAAGTGCTGCAGCTGTTAGCACCAACCAACAGGAAAACACTACCTGCCTTGTTCCCCAAATGTAATTCTGAGAACAAAGAATAGCAATTTTTAATTTAAAAGTCACTCAGAACATCACAGAAAATTCTTTGATGTCTCTTACTAGCACCAAGAGAGCCTGTTCCTGTCAAGCACTGAAGCCGTAGGGAAGCTGCTGTAAAAAATTAGCAACACAATGAGGTAAGTAACAGATTCTCTTTCTTTAAAGGACAATATGGTAAAATACATACAACAAAATGTATCATCGTCATCATTTTTCCCCTTACTGGAATCTTAAGTATTTTTATATTGTTGTATAATCTCCAGATTTTTTTCATCTTGTAAAACTGAAACTTTATACCCACTAAAAAGAAAAACAAACAAACAAACAAACAAAACCTAGCATCTTCTGCCTGCTGCCAGCCCTGGGCACTGCTGAGTCCACATCCTGTTCCCATGAGTTTGGTTACATACCTCATGCTTCGATCATACAATAGTTGTCCTTTTTGTGTGAGTGTTTTTTTCCCCCGCATAGTTTAACTTCCGTTTGGGGGCTAAATAAAAGTCCGTTGTATGTAGGTACCACACTTCCCAAATGGATTGTCTATTCATCTGTGGACTCTCGGGTGATTTTTCTTTTTCTTTTTCTTTCTTTTTTTTTTTTTTTTTTGGACTATTGTAAATTTGCTATGACAATAGTGAAATTCCACTATTTTTGTCTGCAGTTATTTTCCTTTGGATTTGTTTGTTTGTTTTATTGACACAGGGTTTCACTCTATAACCCTGACTAGTCGAGAACCCTCTCACTATGTATACTAAGTTGGCCTCATAACTCAGAGATCTGACTGCTTCTGGCTCTGCCTCCAAGTGCTAGGATTAAAGGCATACGTCACCATACCTGGCTTAGTTCAAATTTTCTACATTGGCAGTTTGGTTTTCTTGAAAGTAGAAGTTCTGGCAAGTATGGGAGCAGTCGCAGCCCTGGGAGGCCGGGCCATGAGGACTGCGAATTTGATGCCAGTCTTGACTGTGTACATAGTAAGACCTTGTCTCAAAAAGGAAAGAAGAAAAATTCTGGCTGGAACCAGGACCTATTATAAAATACCATAAGGCCTCTTTTAAGGTAGTTCCACCAAAATCATGACCCAGATTCTAGGATAAAATCAATACTTGTAGGTTCTTTTTTTTTTTTTAGGTGGATGGAGGCCTTTCTAAGATTGAGTGACTTGGCCTTTTGGCTAAGATCAAGTACAGTGTTTTGTAGATGTAACCAGCCGTCTTATTAAATAAGAAACACAGAACCAATGCGAAGAAGAAAGCCAAGAGGTCAGAGCTAAGAGCTAAAACCTTTCCCTTCCTCCTGCGGTGGTCCTACCTCTCCGAAAGAGAGCTACTTCCTGTGTTAAAGTCTTTATATAGACTTTCTGTTCTGCCTTCTCATTGGTTGTAAACCCAACCACATGACCGCCTCGTCACTGCCAGTCTGTTCAGACCTCCAGGTCTTCTATGGTTGGTATTGAAATTAAAGGAGTGTGTATCCAATTCCTGAACACACAGAAACTTACCTAGCTCTGCCTACCAAGTGCTGGGATTACAAGCGTATGCCACCACCGCCCAGCTTTCCTATGGCTTCCTAATAGCTCTGACCCCCGGGCAACTTTATTTATTAACATACAAATAACATTTTAATACAAATAAAATATCACCATAATGTTTTTTTGTTTTGTTTTGTTTTAATCAATTTAATCTGATGATTGAGCCTGCGGCTTCCCATTCTCCAAGCATGCGCTCTGTCACATCACTAAGCCTACACCCCACGCTCCTCCATTACCTCTGTGTGTGAAATACTCTCGTAGTCTGGAATAAAACTGCAGACAGTGCCCCTGCAAAACATGGAGAGAGTACAGAGTTGCTCAAGTGTGAGTCCAGAGTTTGGTTCTGGCCCGCCACTCACTCTGTCTGCAGTTCAGGAAGCACTTCTCCTATTCTGTCTCAGCTGTCCCGTCTACAAAATGTAGTGTGCCTATCTTATTTTGTTCTCTCCAAAAGTTAGAAATGCTATCATTTGGAACCGTCGTACAACGTGAAGGGGGGAAGCTCTGACAGCTCTCATTGCCATCACTAAGCGAAGCGAGGGGAGGAGCTGTGTCTACCTCAGTACAGTCCTGGGCACCTGGGAAGAACCCATAAATATTTGTTGCCAGAATAGAGTGCCCTGAATTGTGTGACCTCTCCCCCCACCACTAAAGGGAGAAAGCTCATGTGAATTGGTGTTGCTTCTCTCTTAGGCTTAGTATCTGAAAATCTGTGTAAGCCATAATTCATATGCATGAATCTGTTTCTCTTCAAGAAGTGGCTTTGGGAGCTGCTGAAATCCAGTTTCAGCTAGAAGGGAAAGAGTTCCCCAGGACAGTCCAGGGATTTGTGGCCTAACAATCTTGCTCCGCACCTCCCCAATCTTCCTATCGCTGAAACAGAGGTTCAAAGGAAAAGCACCTGTGCCCTGGAATGGCAAAAACAATAGATTTGCAGATGGACTTGGCATCTTTTTGACCCAGTTCTCAAACTAATTTTGCGTTAGACTCTGCTGGGCTAAAAACTCTTTTCTGTTTCTTTAGCTTTCTTTTTAGTGTCCATTGATGCCTTGGATCCTTGTAGAATCTAGTGTTCCTCTTAGGAATAAGGCCATTCTTGAGACTCTTCTAATATGCTTGCATTGGATTGGTCATCTCCCAACACACCATTATCGTCATAATCATCTGTAATTAACTGACAATTCCAAGAGAAATGAACAAGGCAAGACACAGCCTTTATCTATGATAATTCACACCTGTGCACTTTGACAGTCAAGAGGACCTCAGTGTGTGCCTCAGTGATAAATGGCCGGATTGAAGGAAGCAGGCTGTGCATTAAAAACAATTATACATATTTATGTTTTAATTCCCCATAAATCGGTAATAGTAAAGTTCTAGTTATTGATAACGGCTCCCTGGAGCTGTGTTGAGAATATGATGTTTTAAGCAGGAAAGGGAAGAAGGAGGAGCTGAAAAACCCAAGACTGATGGACAGCTTTTGGTATAGACAGGCAAGGGAGACTAGGCAGGGAAATGGAGACACTGGTGCGTAGTGACCGGTGTCCTGCTTTGAATGCTGCCGGTGCTATTCCCTCTAACTTGATTTATCCGTAACAAAATGGCTCACTCAACCTGGCTGCCCGCAGCAGAGGGCTTGGATGTAATCAGGGCAGAAATGATTTTCTCACAATCTGCACGGAGGAATGACCTGGTACAGCAGCAATTACCTAGTCAAATGTGATGCTGTATATATGGAGCTTTAAAAAATAATGCTTCAGTGATTCTGTTTCAGAACTATAGTTTCAAAAATGTAGTAAAGGCAGAACTAGGCTTCTAAAGGACAGGGTACATGACCTTTTATTTGTACCGTGTGTGTGTGTGTATGTGTGTGTGTGTGTGTGTGTGTGTGTGTGTGTGTGTGTGTGAGAGAGAGAGAGAGAGAGAGAGAGAGAGAGAGAGAGAGAGAGAGAGAGATCTATTCCTGTCTTTTGAAGCTTATTATTAACACAGAATAACTTTTAAGTATGTCTGGTGCATTTAGACTTGCAAAACAAATATCAGAAGTTAAGAATCTGGTGGACTCTCTGGGAGAAAGTGAGGGAACAGAGCTGACAGATGAGAGAAGGGCGGGGGGACATTTCTGAAGTAACATTGACAAGAATGGAGTCCTGAATACGGGTGAAATCCAGCCTGGGGTTGGAGAGATGGCTCAGTGGCGAAGAGCGCTAGTTGCTTTTCCAGAGAACCCAGGTTCAGTCTCCAGCACCCACATGGCAGCTCACCACCATCAGTAACTCCGGTTCCAAGAGCTCAGATATGCTTCTGGTCTCTGTGGGCACCAGGCATGCATGCATGTAGTACATATACATGCCATGCAGGCAAGCCCTCACACACATAAAAATAAAATTAAATCTTTAAAAATATGATCGTCCTCGTCCAAAACTACCCTATAACACCAAGAACAAAACTTAAGAGTGCAGTAAACTCGATTTTTTTTTTTTTTTTTTTTTTTTTGGTTTTTCGAGACAGGGTTTCTCTGTGTAGCTTTGCGCCTTTCCTGGAACTCACTTGGTAGCCCAGGCTGGCCTCGAACTCACAGAGATCCGCCTGGCTCTGCCTCCCGAGTGCTGGGATTAAAGGCGTGCGCCACCACCGCCCGGCTGTAAACTCGATTTTATGTTGCCTACCATTTTAATAGAAAGGATCATTATGGGGCAATAAAGTCTATAGCTTTGTCACTTAACTAAATTTGAATCTGTCAATCTGTTCATTACTTTCTAGCTCATAGAAACAAACTCAATGGAGGGAGGATTCATTTTGACTCCTTGTCTAGGAGGATACAGTCGGTCATGGCAGAGAAGGCGTGGCACCCCTGATTCCACGCTGCCTGTTACATGGGGCCAGCCAGGAGGCAGAGACATCTGCTGGACCCAGAAGGGTCTATGACCCATAAGGCCTGCCCTTCAGTGACCCACTTCCTAAAGGCTCCACACCTCCCTAAAGAGTGCTGCTACCTCTAGACTCAGTATCCAGTCACATGAGCCTGTCTGTGAAAGGCAGTTCTGGTTCAAACTGTAACAGTCAAGTAGGTAAGAATTTTGTCTGCTCAGACGTTGTCTGCTGCCTGCCTGAGTAAATCAGATACTATCTGGTTGTCATTATTTCCTAAACCTCCTTGGGGAAACTCAAAGGGTGATAATGTCTAACAGATGGTGTTTTTCTCCCAAGATAAACAGGTTTGTTCACCAAGAGCTCCTGTAGAAACTGGGAAATTAAAAAATATTTCAATTCAGAATAACCCCAGAAAGATGGAGGCGCGGGCGGTTCACAAGTCAAAACAAAACCAGCCGGAGATTTGGGCTCTCTATTACTCAAGTGGTTTGGCTGCATCGTGTGCATGTATGTGTATGGAAGGAAAGCCCAGGTTCTGAATTGACCTCTTCCTCTCACCTTGGGATGATTTATCTCCTGGCAGGCGAACACCCTTTCCTGAGCATCTGTAGTCTCTAATCAAAGCAAGTCCAAATCCTGGTATTGAAAGTAGAAAGGTGACCGGTATGGCTCTGGCTTGAAGTCACATTTACAACTCCTTTGATGGTGATTGCCCAGGTCTCTTACGTAGGCAAA